TAAAGAGAGAGGGAGAGACAGAGAGAGACAGAGAGAGAGAGAGAGAACGATTAAGAATGTTTGAGTTGACCACAATGTGAGTCAGCAATTAGATGCTGTAACTAAAGAAAAAGATGCTCTGCTGAAAATTCAGTTTGGGGGCATAGAAAATATCCAGCAAAATAGACTCTCTGTGCTGTTCAGACCCCTTTGTGAAAGTGCATTTAGTTCTGCAACTGCATTTTAAGAGAGTTGATGGCAAATTGTTGTATGTATAAAAAAGGTTAACAAAGAAGCTAGAGTTCTTTACTGAGCAAGGGGTTCACTATATGTTAGGCATTGGGTTAAATGCAGTACACATGAGTTAATACTTAACATAGTACTATGTAGAAGATATTATGTGTCTATTTTAGATGAGGAAACAGCAGGTTATGTCAATCAAGTGGCTTGCTTAAATTCAACAGCCAGGAAGTAGTAGAGCTAAGACTTGAACTTGGATCCTTTCATCCCAAAGCTCCTATCCTTTCCATAGTACCAGCCTGCCAGAACAATAAGAGACCTAGAGATGTGCTAGTTGAGGAACTACTGAAGGAAGAGGAAGTGTTTGTCTTTAAAAAAGGAATGAACAAAATAAATATAAACATGGTGATTAGATACAAATATTGAAGACTTTGCCATGAGGAAGAAAGTTTAGTTTTGCTCATTAAGAGGAGAGCACGAGGGTGGGGAACACAGAAGCAGTATGAACAGCTGCCACGGGTCAACCGGTCAACCATTTGCTGTCAGTTCCCCTTCACACTTGCATTCTTTCAGCATTGCAATGAGGGGCAACAATATGACCTTCCCCATTTCACAGCTAAAGGACAAGAAGGAGCCAGAATAAGGAGGTGATGTAGATAAGGACGGAATCCTAGCAGCTAGTCAGTGTAGAGCAGGTGCTGAAATCTAGGTCTGTCCTACCCTAGGGCCAATGTTCTTAACCATTTTCCTCCACTGCATTCCTGTGGGTAGGTTTCCAATCAACATAAGGGAAAATTTCCAAGTAATTAGACCCTTCCCAAAAGGGAATGGATACTCTCTCAGGGAGTGAAATGCTTATCACTGACAAATCCTGACTCACAGGGATGTTGGGTTTCAGACCTGATGCCTTCATGGACATTTTCCCCCAAATTCTATTTTTAGTCTATGATTACCACCTCAGCAGAAACACAAGTTTACCTATAAATCATTAGTCCAGGAAAGGGGAAAAAGAGGTAATTGATGATAGGTGCAGCGGGACTCTTTCACGTTATCAATCTGAATTCCAATGTGATGATAAACCCCAAATCTTAGTTTCTCCAAGATATTGTGTAGATGTCACTCATGGTAAGTGTATGGATATAGAATCTTTACAAATTCATTGCTATGGGAAGCAAAAGTTACAATTTCATGTATATTTTGAAATGAAATCAAGAGATCTTAGGGAATTTGAAGAGGAAGCAGAGTGTCATAAGGCCTTAGAAACATGATAACTTATATGAACTTCTTTAGTGTGCTACCCTTGATAATTACGGTGAAGGGCAAGAAGACTGACCATGACACGTTTTGGAACGAGGTTCAGAGCCACACTAGTCTTCAGGCTAAAGATAAAGGGGAGGAGAAAGACAGGCAAATCCCTGAAACATGTCCCTCCCTACTTTCACCTACCCCCTCATTCAGTTCTTTGGCAAACCAAGTGGTGAGAAGAAAGGTTCTTGGTAGATTTCTACATCTAGAAATCTAGATCTGAGCCTTTAATTTTTTGGTTATTAATTTGTTGAGGAATGAGTTCCTCTGGAAAACCTCTGCTTTGTGGTCCTGCTTGTGGAAAATTTTCTATGTTCACCAAATGACTTTTTGGCTTGCTAGAGGTTGTTTACTTTGTATAACGACACATTATGCTTCTGAACTCAGACACAGTTAACAGAGCAGCCTCCCGGATCTACAGTCTAGAGAGAGTGACTTCCATACAGGGGTTGTCACTAGACTTTCTGAAGAGGGGCTCTGTCTGTTAAGGTTAAGTTAACCATAGCTTGCCCCTTTCCTTTGTGCCTTTTGCCTCTCTGTGCCTTGTTGGCATGCTGGTTCACATTCATCTCTGCTGTATCAGTTTTAAATCCAGGTCTCAGTCCTTAGGGTATTACATAATAAATTAAAAAGTAAAAATCAAAGGAGTTTTATGTGTGGTGCATCTGAACTAACTGGTCCTGACTTCCTGCAGGGAAAATGAGTAGCTGGGCAGACTACATTATCAGTGCTCATTAATGATGGTAGGAATGCCTCCTTCCCACATGCCAGTCGCTATGCTAGCCCTGGGGGTGCCAAGATGTGATCCTTGTTCCTTCAAAGAGCTTCTGTATAAATGTCATAGTGTGATACATGATACAGCACAGGTGAGCCCCAAGGGGGCTTATAGGCTCAGACTACTGAGGGGAAAAGAAGGTTTCTTGACCCAAGTCTTAAAGGATTCCCAGGTTATCCCCAGAGATTGCAAAGACAGGAAGATGAATGTAACCAGCTCTGCAGACCTGGGTAGGTCAAGACTCTGGAGAGAGACAGGAGCAGAAGGATGGATACTCCATGCTAAGGAGTTTGGACTTTATCCTAGCGTCTATAGGAAGTCTTTGGATGGTTTTAGAAAGGAAATGGGGTGTAATGTGCTTTTTAAAATGTCATTGTAAAGAATGGGGTAGCAGTTAGTGGGATAGGAAGCAGAGAGATACAACATGAGGATGCTGCAGAAATCCAGATGAAAGACAAGAGCAAAGGGAGACCGTGGAGTCAGAAAGAAAAACAAATGTGGAGACACATTAGGAAAGTGTGCTATAGGAACTTGGTCATGAGGAATGGGTACTGGGGACAGTGGAGGAAAGAGTCAAGGATGTTCCCGGGGTTCCTCCCTTTAGTGGAAACTGTGCCCTTCAAGATGGGGCTGAAGAGAATGAAGGGAAGGGGATATGATAGTAAATTCAGGTAGAGACCAAATGAGTTTGAGGAACTTATGAGTCTTCAGGAGGGATGTCTAGGGGTATGACCACGTGAGTCTAGAGTTCAGGTAGGAGATGCTGGGATCCAGCTGTTGGCTTGTCCCTTCTACATGAAGACAGTTTGGCATTATTGGAAGGCTAAGGGGGACGCTAAGGGCTTAATAACCTTGGGTTAGCTCTCTTGGAAGCCATATTGTCTATTTGAGGATCAAGGTAGTAGACATGTGGTAGAAGGTAGTAGGTAGAAGGCACCAAAATGCCTTCCAGCAGGGGAAACTGGACCTCTTCCTAGGTTTCTTCCCGGTGTTCTCTTTTCTGGCCCACTTTTCTTTTCAGGTCCCTCTAAGATTTCCATGGGTCATCCTAGTTGTGAGACTAGAGGCAGACTTGGTAAAGAGAAGTAAAAGGGAAATTTCTTAAATATTTCGTCTTCTCAATAACCTGCAAGATATTTGTAAAAACAGTCTCGTTTAATACACAACACATTTGAGCCCACAATGATTCCATAGCTTATGTTATGATGAGTAGCAATGTTATAGACTTTAAATCCCGATCTCCACCATATATGCAATGCTAATTTTTATTTTTAAACATAAGCCTATTGCCAGATGTGGTAGTATATGCCTGTAATTCTAGCACTCAAGAGACTGGGGCAACCATGAGTTTGAAGCTAGCCTGGGCTACATGGTAAGTTTTAGGCCTACCAAGACTACCTAACAAGACTCTATCTCAAATAATAATTTTTAAAGTAAATTAAAAAATAAACTTGTCTGTTATCAGTGTTGCTATTGAGAAAGGAAAAAAAAAATGTGAACGGAATGTGATTGTAGTTGAGTTCATCAAGAACAGTGCTAAAACTAATCCCTCTGACCTCCACCACTCTGCCCAACCTTGTGTCCACAAGTTACACTGGGGGTTCTGGTGGTACCTTGGGCTAGGCCTCTTTAAGACTTGGTCTCCAGAACTTTGTTTATAATTTTCCCCTTTGCCTTCAGCCTCCACCTTTGTCCTTATACCCCAAGCAGCCAGAGCACTCCTTGAGTTCTAAGGATGCATGAGAAAGTCAGTCCTCTGCCCAGAAGCTTCCAGTGGCTTCTCAGCTCAACTTAGAATATAAGCTGTGACCTTCAAGGCTTTCTGTGTTCTGACCTCTGGTGGTTCTTTGGTCCTACTTGAATCACACCGATTATTTCACAAGCCCTTCTAGAATTTTCTGCATTCTCTAGGGCTTATAATCTTTCTGTGCCCTCTTTCTATAGTATTTTGGCCCAGGATCTCTGTGACTGGCTCACCACATGTCATCTGGGCCTCTGCATCTCTGTGACATTGCTTGTCTAAAACAGTGACCTCTGTCACACTCTGTTCCTTATTCTGATGGATTTTTTTCATCATAATACTTCTTATTTGTATATTGGCATCTACTTGGATGTTCTGTGAGCTCAGGCACTCCCTCTGCGCCAGTTGCTGGGATGGCCCCTGATCACTTATGCACTCCAAGATTCATGTAATGAATATGCAAAAGCCACGGCCCACAGAGGGGGATGGGAAATGGAGTCATAACACCAAGAGACCCGAAATAAAGCAAATGTCTTAGATTTCCCAGCATGACTGGTTCCCCAAGACTCCATCTTTGGGAATAACCATAAATAGGTCTCAGAAAACTTGTGCACATATTTCTGGGTTTATTGTAGATTTATTGCTCTGATATGGGTGGGAGACTCTTTTCTTCCTAACACATGTGTTACCAAAACAGGTTTGCCACCTCAGGATGTAGCTGATAATAGTGTGGTGTCCATGTGCTACCTAAGCCTGCTCTTCCAAGTTGGGGAGCTACTCCTAGGAGCCTGTGGAAAGTGCCCCCTGCACAGTGGCTTTTTTATTTCTACAGGAAAAGGACTTTCTTTGATAGCTTGGCATTAGCGAGCTCTGCCTTCTGCCCCTTCTTGATCAAGGTTTCCTGTTGACAATCTGAACTGAATACCATGCTCAGTGCATTTTCTGTTGCTCTTTCCCTAGGATCTTCTATGTTTCTCACGATTCACAAGACTTGAAAATCTTCAGCTATATCGCTCGAGATGGTGCCAGCAATATCTTCAGGTGTAACGTCTTTAAATCTAAGAAGAAGGTAAAGGGACAGTCATCGGTCCTCTGTTACTTTCCTCTGATGGGCCCAGCACATCTGACATTGACCTGCTTCCCTGTTGAAGGTTTGGAGGGGGCTGTTTTAATGCCAGACCTGGTGGCACTGTTAGTCATCTGTCATTGTTCTTATATGATGAAATCCTCTTTGATTGTGGTTTCATCTGAACTTTGTACATAGTTACATATAGTCAGTTGGATAGGGGTCCACCACTGGACACATGTTCTGAAAGAAGAGCAGGTAGATAGCACCAGAAATAATGCTGACCTTAGCCTGCAGTAGGAAAAAAGTTACCATGCCATGTACTAAGGTGACCCTTCACTTCGATATTACATGTAAATCAGTAGGCTTCTAATCATGACACAGGGAATCTGGCTTAGGTTAGGGTATGATATTGGTTGTCATGGGAAGTTACTTTGATATGGCAGCCTTGATACTTGAGTGAAGACAAGCTCCACACTTCTGTACAGGTGTCTTTCCTCTCTGCCATTCCTCCAGGAGACTGGCACATGAAGCAGGCTGATAGTTAGAGAACCTAGGATTTAGCCCTACCTCTCCACAATCACTCAGAATAATGTTAAGCACATTACCTCCCCACTAAGACTCAGCTTCTTAGAGAATATATTCAGGATAGACAAATTAGCATTTTCTTTAAAAAAATGTTTTATTAACATATATTAGTTATATATAAGGGATTTGTTATGATATAGTCTACATGTGCGTAATTGTTTCAATCATATTCTATCACCCCCCTCTCTCCCTCTGATGTCTTTAAAAAATCAGCGTTTTCTAAAACTTATTCTTTAACATTTATCATCAAAAATATTTTATGTTAAAACTATCCTGTTTAAGTTTATGAAAAGTCTTGAACACTTTAATTTGGTTAAATCCAGAATTTCACAAACTGCTTGGACTACAGAAGTATATTTTTCCCATTTAATATGTGTTAATATTCTGGGAACTATTTTCCTGCAGAAGAGACTTTGGAAAGCTCTGTATTAGCATTTCTAAGGCTTTATGAGTTAGAGACATCCATGAAGTCTGGCTTCTCATGAGACTTCCAGCCCCCTTTCTACATCCTCCGCCTTTAATTCTTCATATGTCTTAAGGCATCTTTCATAGATTTATAGGTATTTTGTCATTGTCAAGTGGGGGTAATAAAGATAATACCTGACAGGGTCAAGATTTACTAATGCAGATGTTTCTTGACTTAAGATGGGGTTATGCCATGACAAACTTATCTTCAGTTGAAAATATCATAAATTGAAGATGCATTTAATGTACCCAGCCAAACGAATATTCCAATTCAGCAGCACAGTAGCCTGTGGAATATGGATTGTTTCCAGGAACTAGGGGTCACGGCCATTGCCCAGTCTCATGAACATTTCCTACTATACAAAATTAGTCCAGGAAAAGATTTTGAAGTAGAGTTTCTACTGAATGTATATAGGTTTTGTACCATCATAAAGTCAAAAAATTGCCAAATCAAACCATGGTGTCTCAGGCTGTATATGTGTCCTTTTCTCCATGAAGAGAATTAGGCCTTGTTAGCTAAAGAGATTTGTGTCCTGTTCTCAGGCCTTTTGTTTTATTATTTATTTATTTATTTATTTATTTATTTATTTATTTATCTATCTATCTATCTATCTATCTAGTTAGTTAGTTAGTTAGTTAGTTAGTTAGTTAGTTTGTTTGTTTGTTTGTTTGATAAAGTGGGAATGGAGTTTAGGACCTTGCACAAAGCTCTACCTCTGAACTACATTCCCAGTCTCTGGGCCCTTTTAAAATATGTCCTAGAACAGGATGGGAAGTACTAGAAAGATGGGAAGAAAAGAAGAAGAAGTTGCCAGACTTCTCTTCTAGATAACAGTACAGTTTAGAGTTGGGGCACGGGGGAAAGTAAGTGAGGCCCTCTTGGGTTGCATATTAAAGAACTGATAGGAACATGCGTAGGAAGAGTGAGAGGGAAAAAGCAACAGTCATTAGGATGGTGAAAGGCTCCTCTCAGCATGGCAGTGAAGGGGTTCCAGGAAGGAGTGAAAGGAAATACAAAGTGTCCCTAAGAGTTATAAATTGGATTGTCTGCAGTGTTCTTGATGATGTGACTCACGAATGAAATTCTCTTCATTTTGAATCCTTGCTTGTGCTTCTGACTTTGGTTTTGTACCTAGACTATGCAAAACTTTGGGGCTTGGCTTATAAATAACAGTCATTTACCAAGCACTCTGATTATTTATCTTATTTTATCTTTATAATGTGTATGTAAAGAAGATAAGACAAGTAATTTTCGCCCTTGGATTCGTAGGTGAGTAAATGAAGACTCAGCTTAAATGATTTTCCAAGTTCCCCTAAAAGGGCAGGAGCTAGAACACAGAGACATGCAGAACAAAAAGAGATTGTTATATCTGCCTCGCTGTGGGACCTGGTGTGTCAGTGCATGCATGCTGGGTGCCCTGCTGTGAGACCTGAGATGGAGAACACTGCCCACCTAGAACTTCCCTCTTGAAGTCAATCATTGAATTGAGTCGGTTGCCCAAGGAAAAGATGTTGACTTCCCTCTCTCATCACTTTCCCCCACACACACGTCTTAGAGTTCTCAGGGCTAGCTCTCATCTCTGACTCTTCTGTTTTCTGTATGCCTTTTGCCCTTACCTACGGAGTCTATAGCTCTTCTTTGGATTGGTTCTCAGGCCCTGTGCTGGCCTATAGCCATGTAGCTAAGGGAATTGTTTCCAGATGGCTGGGACTGTGAGCTCTGTTGCTGCTGAACTGTAGATGGGAAGACTAATTTCCAAGCCAGGAAAGAGAAATGAATTGTTCAGCAAAGGAAACCCAATTGGGGAGGAGTAGGGAACATGTCTGGGAGGGTTTGCACAGCATCCTGGTTAGCCTCCAGATAAGTGATTTACTTTTCTATAAAGCCCTTCTGGTTCCAGGAGATAATAGCTTGGGCAGGAGTTTTAATTGGCAAATCATAGACAAGTTTAAGAGGTGAAGAAGAAAAGACTATAGACCCTGAGGAAATGTGTCTTGAAAAGATGTTTGTGGACCACGAGAGGTCAATTGAGAGACCTGTTGACTGGAAGCCAGAAGACCTGATGTTATCCAGATTTCTCAGACTGATCGTGGTGCAGAAAAGCCTTGACTAAGCATCTTGCTGTGCTAAGGATTTAGGTACTTCTGTTCTATATCATGTCATATCCCGTGTACCTGCTGATGGCATGTTTCTTCTCATGGTGGGCCTCTAGTGCAGGTGTAGTCCTTCTTACAGAGAGAGGGCTGTATCTTCTGGTTGAGAATACTACTAGCCAGGCATCTCACTCTTCCCATGAGAAGACCTTGCTTCCAGCTCAGTACCCCTGTACCTCTGGATCTTCTTATGGCCAGGATGCCTCTCAGCTTGGAACATAACTTGTGTAAGGTCTCATGACAACTTCTTGGGTTTTTATTTTGTTTTGTTTTGTTTTGTTTTTTCTTTCCAGTTGGGCTTTCACAGAAGCTCAATAGCAGAATATGCCAGACTGCAACATGCTGTTCCTCAGCTGCTCCTGATGATCTAATTTGTAGCTGTGCATTAAATCCAATAATATCTAAGGTGTTTGATTACTTGCTTTGCACCTGAGACTGCTCTATGGTCTATGTGAGACTTATTTCCATTTGTCCGTTCAATCACCTTTTGAGGTAGAAGCTCAATGTGCTTCTCATCTTACACTTGGGGAAATGGATCCTTAAGGTACATAATTTGTGTAAGGTCTCATCATAAATAGTGGAGTCACAAATGAACTCAAGAGATCTGACTCTGGTGTTTGTATACTGTTTTTAATTTATTATTTTTATTTTATGTGTATGAGTATATTGCCTGCATATATGTAAGCATGGAGTTCTGAAGAAGGCATCATATCTCCTGGAACTGGAGTTACAGATGATTGTTAGCTGCCATGTGGGTGCCAGGAGTTGAACCTGGGTCCTTTGCAAGAGCAACCAGTGCTCTTAACCACCACTGAGCCATCTCTCCTGCCCCTGGTGTTTGTATTTTTAAACACTCCATTGTTACATTGTTCTTGCCTCATTAGGAAGCTGTATAGCTAAAGAGTAGCCTATGTATACCTAGGTTCTACTATAACCACTACCTGGTTATGAGGAGCTTCTTAACTCTGCGTACCCCAAATCATTGTGTCAGATAGTCCTTCCCCAGCCGACCCCCGTAGTATACATATATGGTCAGCAGTATCTTGCCCCATTTTATAACTGGTAAAAGAAAGGGCCCAGGGTAGTAACTTACCCTTCGTCACACAGTGAATTGAAGATGTCACTGAGATTAGAAGCAGGCTTCCTGCTTTCCAGTCCAGAACTGTGACCACTAAGCCCTGTGTCATGAAGCATGAAACCCTAGGACCTCTCTGGACTTGAGTTTCTTGGGCCATCAAAAAGGTGAAAGGCAATTGAGGAATGCTGCCTGTTGTGTGTGATGGAACCAGATGGATCTGACCTTTAAGGAGCAAATTCTGTAGGACAGGATTGGGGTCCAGAGGTCCCAGCACCCCACCCCTCAACTAGTGCTAAGAGAGAAGATTGCAAGTTCCTGATGCAGACTTCTTGGTGACGGGGTAGTCTGTGTTTCACCACCTTGCGAAGCCATTTCTCTCTTGAGCAGCCTGTTTCCTGGCCTCTTGACCAGTCCCGTGGTGTGTCATTTTCTTCCACTGCTGGGAGAGTACAGTCGGCTGCCTGCTGTACAAAGGCTATGCTTGTTAGCGCATCTCTGCAGGAACTGTCAGTGATTAGCAGGAGTGGCAGGAAGCCCTGTGAGCCACAGGGACAGCCCCCGGAGCCACAATCACAGCTCAGTTGGCTTGGGTTAGAAGAAGCCATTTCTTCCTGTGATGCTGTCACCAGCAAATGGGCCTGCAGCTGTGAGGCCAAACTGTCTTTTAGAGTTTACAGTAGATTTTGAATGATGATGAGAGTCGTGCCCTAAAGAATGG